TCAGATCGGGACTGGGCCTCCTTCACGTGGATCCCCGATCTTCCACTAGCTAGGTAGTTACAACCACAAACTTCCCCTGGCGCCATGCAATCCCATCAATGGCTAAGATCCAGAGACTATAAAACAAAGCTCCCAGAAGCACGTGGCCGCATTTGTAGCCACATGACTTCTTATAGTCTAGCCCACTGATGCACCTAAAGTAGCAGACATGTGTTTGGTTTAAACATAGTTGCTTGTATTCTCTTACATATATTCTCCGTCCCTCTCGGAGAGACAAACAAGCTACCAAGAGTATCCTGCCCGCATGACAGAGCCTGGCAAGCTCCTTGTGGCATATTTGATATGCCAAAAGCAGTAACAGTAATGGGACTCATTCCCCTGATCCCGAGAGAGCCTCCAATACAGCACCATTGAGAAAGATGAGTAAGGAGAGGCTGCTAAAATTTCAGGTCTGGGACGAATGGAGATGTTACTGGCACCTGCTCGAGCAAATTGATGAACAACAGGATGGCAGTGACACAGTGATACATTTTGGGGCATGACTTCATTTTCCTCTTCCCACACTATACTTAAAACTATTTCTTCATTTATTTCTTAAAGACATTCATTCAAGCAAGGGATCTGGTGATACCTTATTCTTGATAAATACCCTCAAATCTTCAGAAGTCTCAATTGCAATTTGTCAATCATTGCTCATTGAGAATATTCTGAAAATATCAGCTGAAACAGAACAAATATCTAGAACTCTTATGTAACAAGAAGTAAAAGAAAGCCAGATTGCAAAAGAAGTACAGCTACTATTTATTTGCAGATGATATGATAAAATATAAAGAAAATCCCACTCTATTAAAAGCCTTACAAAAATGAATATAGAAGTGATTGTTTATAAAATATATGTATACAAAAATCTATTGTTTTACTATATGAGAACAATGAATAAAAAAATTAAAAGAAGACAACCCCACTTATAACTGCATTCAAAATATTTAAATAAATTTAAGAAGGAAGGTAAACAACTTATACAATAACAAATGAACAACAACAACAAAAAAAAACACCCAGCAAAACTTAAAAGAGATGTGTCTTGGAGTTCATACCTCCCAAGTATAAGGCCCAGGGTTCAATTTATCGCACTGCAGAAACAAAAAAAAGTTAAAAAGGTATAGAATCAGAAATTGATGTGAAAAGTTATTGCACGTATGTGCAATAAGAAAAACTAGTAAAGTCAAATATCCATTTTACCAAAAGCAATACACAGATGTAATACAACCTCAATCCAAATTCAAATGGTATTTTTAAGGAAACAGTACAAAAAACTAGGATTTATAGGGAATCATAAAAAGAACCCTTCAATAACTAGGCAAATCCTGAGCAAGGAAAGAAAAATATAGATAGCATATTACCTGACTTCAAATTATACTACATGGCAATAGGAATGAAACTGTATGGGGGAGTTGGATAGATAGTATAGCAAGTAGAGCCCTTACCTTGAGCACAACCAACCCTGGTTTCATCTCTGGCACCACAGATGGTCCCTTGAGTCTCACCATGAATGATCCCTGAGTACAGAGCCTTAAGTAAGCCCTGAGGACCATTGGTATGACTGAAAAACCAAAACCAATCAACCAAAACTTATATGATGACTGGGGAGATAACTCAAATGGTAGGGTACATGCTGCATGTTTGAGACCCTGGGTTTGATCCCAGTCAGCACATGTCCCATGTCCCTCCCTCCCTATAGCATTACCAGGTGTGGCTCTTGTGGCCTTTGAGCGCCACCAGGCCACAATGAGTCCAAGTACCTCCAGGAGTGGCTCTTATTAAAAAGTAAATGTATGATGTTGAAATAAAAATTAGATTCACAGTTCAATAGAACTGAATTGAAAGCCCAGAAATAAAGCCACAGATTCATCAATATTAATTTATGACAAAGAATCCAGGACCATACCATGAAGAAAAGGAAGTCTCTTCAACAAATAGGGTTGGAAAACCGGATGTCACATGTAAGCGAACTTGACTATTCTAATCCCATCTACAAAAATAGCTTCAAAATGGATTTCCGCCAAGATATAAGACCCCAAACCATAAAGTACATAGAAGATGACATAGATTAAATGCTGTACAACATTAGCTTTAGAGATATCTTTGGGGACTCAGCTCCAGAGCAAGGAAAGTGAACATTAACAATTGTGATAACTGTAAATTGAAAAGTTTTTGCATAGCAAAAGAAAATATAGGGCCGGGAGGAAGAGCACAGTCTCTTAGAGCCCCTACATTATAAGCATAAGGTCATGAATTCAAATCCCTCGTGTGTCACATGTGGTAAATATGATCCAGGCAGCTCTACTCTTTGAGCCCAGCAGTCTAACAAAAAACTTGCAGCAGCACCACAACCAAGAGTGTGTAAACACTATGAGATCAGGTGCAACTCCTGGTGAGAAGTAAAAAGAGGTGGTAGTATTATAACCAGAAATTATCATCTCTGTTGAGCTTATGTGATGCTGGCAAGAACTTGAGTCATAACTGGGTGCTTCAAGAGTATTTGCCCTGACAGGCATATGTGCAAGCCCTACAAGTAAAGAAGTACCTTGATGATCACTGTGGCGGTATTTATAAGCATCACAGCCCAAGGAGTGAGCCCCAGTGAGCACTGCAGCTAAAATCAAATGTGCATGCAACTTCTCTCATTACAACCCAAGGAACAAAGGGAAGTTGGGGGTAATTGAAAAAGAGAATATAAAAGAGAATGAAAAACTCAATGGGAGAAGACAGTTGCATAGCATACACCCAACGAAGAATTATTTCAATGATCTGTAAGAGAATTTATATAGGTAATAACAAAAACATCTAATGTCCTGATCCAAAAACATGTGGCAGAAAATATGAATAGATGCTTCATATCACGGAAAGAACATATGTGGATAGAGGTACATGAAAATTCTCTGGTCATCAGGGAATTGCAAATCAGACCTCTAGAGAGAAACCACCTCACCCTCAGGAGAATGATTTCCATCAAAAGGATTGAGGATTGGAGGGTGTAGAGAAGCTAAACCCGTTCAGTGCTGCTTCGAGCCATGTATACTGGTGTCACCAATTTTACATAGTTTTGGGAACAGGACTGAGGCTACAAATCGAACTACCACACGCTTCTGGGTCACTATCAGAGAATATGAAAGCATTAACACAAAAAGTTAGACCACCTCAATGTTTATTGCAGCATTATTTACAATAGCAAAAAAATATGGAAGCAAACAAAGGTCTCATCAATAGATTTGCATAAAGAAAATATGATACAGTTACACAGTAGAATAAGTACTATTCAGCTAACGAAAGAAAAACGGAAATTTTCCATTACAGCAAAATGAAAGGCGCTCAAAGGGATTAAATGTAAAACAAAGTCAGAAGAAACACAAGCCAGGCCCGTGTGCAGCTCAGTGGTAGAGCAGATGCTCTGCACATCTGAGACCTGGTTTTGAACCGAAGCACCACAAACTAAACCAACGAATAAAACAGAGGGAAAAAGACAAGGACTGGAAGGTCTCACCCATATGGACAATATACAGAGATAAAATTGATGAACAGACAAAAGGAAATAAAATAAATAATAAGTTGTGCACATTGTCCACAGAACTCAGGTTACCTAGGAGGAAAAAAGTGGAGGATGTGGAGACAAGGAAAGGGGTATAAGAATAAGTGTGTTGCATTTTATTTGTCAATTTTTTTTAATGGAAGAAACTAAACAACCCTGTTTAAGCAGATGATCTACCCAGAGAAAATCGTTTTCAAGAAATGATCAATATCCGTAGGGTCAGGTCCCTTGCAGGAACTTTTGGGGTACCCTGCTGCTAAGTAACTGCCTTCTGAGTGTGCTGTGATGGTCACATAGTGAAAGTAGCTCTGAAGAGGAGAGCGACTCCTCCTTTGTGGCTCTGCAGGCGAATGCAGGTCCCCCAGTGAGTGTGGCGAGAGGGGGAAGAGGCGTCAAATGTACCCACCCTACCTAGGGGATTTCTAGGATGGGCTGGGACAGAGAAAAGACAAACCTCTTAATCCTATTCACTCTTAGAAAAGCACATTAAACTTCATCTTTAAGAGATTCTGCATTCACAAATGGAAGCTGCCTTCAAGGGCATTTAATCCTCTTCACCCCCACCCCATCTCCTCCTATCCCCAGGGGATTTCACTTCTAATAAGTTTAAAACAAAGCTAGCCGGTAAATGCAGAGATGGTTCTAAAATTTCAAAGTAAAACCGCCAGGGCGGTTGCTCTTCCTCATTTTTGATGTGAGTATGTGCTGTTCTGCCAAGTTTTCTTAATCGTTGTACTTTGTAGGTGGCCTTGTTCCAAGATCCAGATGTATAAACATCCTGGACATGTGCTGTTAAAGCTTTCAGAGCATCCATTGTGATTAGGTATGAACTTGCAGGCTGAACCCATGGTGTGAATATCAGGAGCAGGTAAAAACAAAGACTGCAGCACTAATAATAAGATTAGAAAATAAATCACCTTTGGCACCTTCCTATGCTTAAATAGTATGTTGTGGTACAGCACATTACTTTAAATGTGAGGGAAGTGGCACTGAATGTCACCGCCTCCCACCCTTTTTTGGTAAAGGATGTCCACTTTACAAATGGGAAAAAAATTTTCCTTTGTAAAAATAAGTTGTTATTCAAACTGTAAGATGTCTTTTTTTTTAGAAGCCAATTTTATTTATTTATTTATTTATTTATTTATTTTTTCTGGGGTCACACCCAGCAATGCTCAGGTGTTACTCCTGGCTTTGCACTCAGGAATTACTACTCCTGGCGGTGCTTGGGGGACCATATGGGATGCCAGGGATCGAACCCGGGTCGGCCACCTGCAAGGCAAACACCCTGCCCGCTGTGCTATCGCTCCAGCCCATCAAACTGTAGGTTGTCTTTGTATAAACGTGTTTAGATTCATTGCTCTTCAATTTTTTCCCCCAGTCTCTTCTACCTTGAAATCCTACTATGGCACATCTACTATAATCAGTATTTTTTTAAATACATATGCTGGGAACAGATGAGCCTTTCTGCAGCAGAGGTGTGATGGGAATGAATGTGAATAGTGTGGCCTCTACCACCATAATACAATTCAAGTCCAAGTTCAGATTCTCTTGAGGGATAGGAAATCTGGCAGGGAAAAAACTCAGAAAAGAGTACCATGATATATGATTACTTATGAGCTAAAAACTAAAGATACATCTTTAAAAAAAATAAGCTATGTTTCCCCAAATATCAAGAGTAGGTATTATCCAATAACTTTGGTACTCTCACAATTCAGAAATAAAATAATAATAACCTGTGACTTTAAAATTATTTTATTTTTATAAATTTGTCCAGTTACTAAAAATGTTCAAGAGTTGTTGCCTATGTGAGACCTACCTCGCATGCTAATTGTGGATCACTAGCCATCAGCAAATTTGTGATGATTTGACTAGCATGATATTCATGTCATTATGGTTAAATTTCCAACAAAGACACCTGGCACTTTGCATTCAGGTACTGTTTCATGCTTATTAGAACATGCTTAAAATAGACAAAAAATTACTTATTAAAAAAAAGCACAAGTAAAACTGACATAAAGAATTATCCACTGCACCACACACACATACACACATACACACACACCATGTACACACACATCCAAAATTATGAACTGGCTCAAGATTTGCAAGTAATGTACACACATAATTGAGGAAATTATATTTGAATTCAGTTAAGCTACGTATGATGTCATTCTTTCTTTTTGGCATGAATATATCAGAATATACTTTCTTCTATTTTCCGTTGATTGTAATATACATTGAGCTAGAAAGTATCATCTAGGAGTTCCAAGATTTAAATCAATTGCACACTTGAATAGAGCATGAGTCTGACATTAGTGGTTCTAAAATTATCACCTGTAAATCTAGGATTGTTTTGGAGATGTCCAAAACTTCTACAGTATACACAAACACACAAATAAGTAAAACTCTGTTTTTAAGATTTTATATTTTCTTTCCATTTTATTTCACATTCAAATGAGATCCTAAAATCATCTTAGAGGCGTTTCCTCCCCAAAACATCAGAAATCCAGGCCTGATAATAGCTAGGAAATATATTTTCCCAGCACATGAAGCAAATTCAGAATTCTATAGAGGCAAAAGACAATTATTAAGTTACTTCTGAGTATGTCACCGAATTTCGGAAAAGTTGATCATTGTGGAACCAGAGTACTGAATTTGACTTCCAATTAGTTAATATGGAAAGGATTTGATCCAACCCCACATCTTACTGATGACGACACTGAAGCTCAGATGGAATAACGGATGGGGTCTCTTTCTAGAAGCAAAACTGGGCCTTACAGCCAGACCCTGTCTCAGCCCAAGCACTCTCAGCAAAGCGCAGGCAAACAGTATTTTTTGCTGTTCGCTGGCATCAATACACATCACCAAAGAGAGAAGACACATAGCTCTCGGTTGATTATTTTATGAACAAGATGCTGGAATCTTAAATTAGTAGGTGCAAAGAGTTGGCACAAACAGGTGAAGGCTCTTTCCAGGGCAGCAGTAGCGTGGGCACAACATACCCCCTCGACCACCGCCCTCAGCCCTTCCCCCCTCCGAGAGACGGAGCGCTGCGGGCTGCAAATTTCTTCAGCTCTATTTTCATAGACTGAGTCTCAGCTCGAGGCTCGAGCTTGGTCAGATTTCCTGCTCCTGGGGCTGCCACTACTGGCTTTCCTGCTTTCATACCTTTTGACATAGGAATGCGGGTGGGTGCAGGCCGCTGGGATGACCCGTCTTGTCCTGACTGTAAAGAGAAAAAGAAGAACAAATGGATAAGGCGACATGAGAGACGATGGGTTGCCCCCAGATGTACCATTCAGCTGAACACTTGGCAGGACTCTTGCCCTGCAGGAGTGCCCACCAACCATCCCTCCCAAGGTAAAATTACAGCGAGTCTCCTGGAGTCAGTACCCATTTCCAGTGTTCGCCTCCCTTTCCTCTCTCCTGTATCATGTAAGTCTGACTTCCTTCATGCTCCTAACTTCTTTTACTGGGGTGAGCTCAACTCCTATTTTATAAAGTAAACAAAAGACCACTTTGGCATAAACTCAGGCAACTTGACTCCAACTCTCCCTTCGCTTAACTTTACTTCCTTTCTTTTTAATATTTTTTTGGTTTTTTTGGAGAAGTCACACAGAGGAAGTTTTGCATAGATGGTCACACACCCAGCTGTGTTCAGGGCTTACTATGGGTTTGCCACTGAGAAATCACTCCTGGCAGTGCTTGCGGGAACCATATGGGATGTCAGCAGGCATTGAACCGCAGCTGGTTGTGTGTGAGGAAGTGCCTTACCTGCTTTGCACAAAGCAGTTCTCCTTTTGCCTCCTCATGAGGTCAGACTTTTCTATTATTGTAGTTACTGACTGCACCCTTCTCGAAAGTGCTCTTAACATTCTTGCTGTGATTTCTTACTTGAGTCTTAACTCAATTAGCTTCCATCTCAGGTCACTTCATTTGGCAGTGCCTCCTTATCTGCCTTTTCTAGAGGTGAGGGGTGTCTGGGGTATAGTGAGCAGTGTTCGGGGGCTACTCCTGGCTCTGTGCTCAGGGGAGATTACTCAGGATCCAGGAAGCACTCAGGATAGCATATATATATGCAATGCTGGGAATAATTGGGGGTGGACACATGCAAAGCAATCACATTAATCCTTGCAAAAACTCTCTTGCCACTTCTCTATTTTCTATATTTTCCTTCTCCAAACAAGGTCTTTAGTTGCCCTCTAAATATGAGTGTTGCCATATTCATTCTCACCTATGTGCCCTCCCCAGTACCTATTCTTAAAAAAATCTTTTTTTTGGGTGGCATTTGAGAATCACAAAGAGCAGGGTTTCAGATAGCCAAAGCTACCAGGATCACATCAATGCATATGGGACATCATGACCATATGCTTGCAAGGTTGCAAGGCAGGAGCTCTAAGGCACTACTGTTCTCCCGGGGGCTCCGTCATCCTTTAATTAAACTCAAAAATGATTTATTTCTCTGGGCCAGAGAGATAGTACAGTGGATTAGGCTCTGGCCTTGCATGTTGCCAACTGGGTTTGACCCCTGGCACCACATAGGGTCCCCTGAGCACTGCCCAAAACAAACTTGAGCATAGAGCCAGGAGTGGCCCCTCAGATCAAAATTAAAACCGAAGCAAAATCAACAAAATAAAAGATGTATTACAGAAGAAAGAAGCTGAGGATAGGGATTCTGTCACAATTCTTTAGGCTAGAAATAGTGTAGGCTTGAACTGTGGTGGTGAAAATGAGGACAGCAGAAAAATGAAGTGAGACCTGAAAATTCCACAACAAACTGAATAGAGAAAGCGCTAAGGTTTCTGAACTGCTTGCAAAGCATGCTCTTTTCCTGTTGGGTAACCTCTCCAATCCCCTTCAATCTATCCTTTAGATAGTGAGAGGAATTTAATAATTCCTCAAAAATGTTGCTATGGAAAGTAACACTTCTTCTATTTGACCCTTAAGATGGGAATTAGATGTTTCATTAGAAAATCTGTTCTAAGTTACAACATGTAGCTCCGTAGTCTTTTTCCTAAACAAGCAGCAGAAAGAAGCAAATCCCTGTACAGCTATGTGGCCTGGAGTGATAGCACAGCGGTAGGGCGTTTGCCTTGCTAGCAGCCAACATGGCCAACCCCAGTTCGATTCCTCCAGCCCTCTCGGAGAGCCCGGCAAGCTACCAAGAGTATCTCGCCCTCACGGCAAAGCCTGGCAAGCTACCTGTGGCATATTCGATATGCCAAACACAGTAACAACAAGTCTCACAATGGAGACGTTACTGGGCCCGCTCGAGCAAATCGATGAACAACGGGAGGACAGTGCTACAGTGCTACACCTATGTGGCCTAAAAAAACGTCGAACATTTAAGAAGGACGAGCAATTCTGAATGCTGTTTGGCTCCTGCAGAGTCAAAATGAAGTTTTACTGGCAAATCAATTGCTAATTCTTGCTTTGAAGTCTGTCATGAGTGCCAGGGGTCAAACCCAGTTGGCAACATGCAAGGCCAGTCACAGAGAACCGAAATAAGTTATATTGGGTTGGAGATACAGCTCAGTGGTAGAATGCTCATCATTTATACATGATGCTCTGGATTCAATCCCCAGCATCAAAAATAATGAAATAAAAAATGCAATATGGCAAGTTATCTCAAAGATATGATAATATTAACAATAATTTCTATAGTTAAATTATAAGCTTTATGTCTTTCATGTTTGTTTGCTTTTAGATTTGGGGCCATACCAGCAATACTTACTCCTGGCTCTGGCTCAGGAATCACTCCTAGTTCAGGAGATTATATGAGATACTGGAGATTAGATCTAGATCAGCTGCACGCAAGGCAAGTGCCTTGATTGCTGTAAGATTTTGGTCCTCCGTGTCTTTCATAAGTGTTTCCAAGCTATGCAGTAGGTAGTTTTTCAGTCAAACATAATAATTTCAAGTCTCTTTCTACTATCCAAATGATGTCCAAATGCTATTATTAAAATGATAAATGTGAATATTATTCTATTTTAACAGTGTTTCACTTACTTATAAAATTATAATAAAATTCCTAATAAATTTAGTCAATCTCTGGAGGCATTTTGGAAAAGAATTTATTTTTATAGTCCAGGTTTTATACTTTGGAGATGCTTTTTAAAAAAATAATAATAATTTAGCCACCAGCTGGTTATTTTCATCAAGCACCAACTTACTCTCTACAAGATACGAATAAAATAAACTAGCTTTTATTAACATAAACTCACTTCTTTTTTACCTTTAAAAATAGTTTTTGATAGGGGCTGGAGCAATAGCACAGCGGGTAGGGCGTTTGCCTTGCATGCTGCTGACCTGGGTTCGATTCCCAGCATCCCATATGGTCCCCTGAGCACTGCCAGGAGTAATTCCTGAGCGCAGAGCCAGGAGTAACCCCTGTGCATTGCCGGGTGTGACCCAAAAAGCAAAAAAGAAAAGTTTTTGATAATAAAAGTTTTGAGAAAATTATTTTTGGAATAAAGCATGACTACTATCCAATCCCAGTATCATCGTGAGAATTTCAGGTTGTTAGACATATAATTCAGGAATAGTTTTAATTACTTCTGCACAATGACCATTTTCCCAAATGATATGTCTAAAAAGCATTCTAAACATAAAAATCAAATTTCAAAACTTTTAATAACTATATTGCATAGAAGCTATTCTTACAAACATTTGGGGGCTCCTGGTAATTTAAGTGAAAACATTTTTTTCCTTAGGATTATCTTATCAAAATATTCAAACACTTTTAATTTTTATTTCTTGGTCTCTTTTAGAGGTATTCAAGGGAAGCAAGAAACCTGTGTTTGATTTGATTTGGGGTTCTGAGTTACTCTTACTTCATCTTCCTCCTAGCCGGGGCTTTTGGAACCTTTTACTTACCACTGACTGGGTTCCTCTGGAGGATGAGGTTGTGACTGGCGTGATAGTGATAGTACTTGTCACTTTGCTGGCACCAGGTCGTGAGGACAGATGATTCCTGGGAGAGCGAAGGACGGTGCCAGTGGAAACCTCCTTTTCAGCTGTCACGCTGACAGGTCGGACAGTAATAACTGGACTTGCCCCGTCTGCTGAGGTCCCTGGGGATCGCTTAAACTGAGAGCCTAAGTGAATGTGAATTTTATTGTCTTCCGTGGTGATGATGTTGGCATTGGAGTTGTATTTCCGAACTGGATTTGGGACAGTCTGTTTTTCTGGGGTGACTTTGAAGACAGTCCTTCCCATGGGCATTTCCTGGGACTCCGGGGAGACAGGCATCTCAGGTGGTGCCGCGGATGTGGACACAGTCATTATCTGAATCGGGGAAGTGGGTCTCTCTGCAAACACACCTCTTCCACCTTCTGGGGTCTTTTCTCGGGAAAATGTCGTGATTGTGACTGGCGACATGGCTCGTTCTGTACCCAGAGTACTGTCTCCACTTTTTGATTTCTGAGACATAACATTTGGTGATGGGATAATGGTTATCCTCGGTTTCTGATTCCCTAAGGTAGGAATGACCGTGGTACTAGAAAAAAACTCTTCAGAGGTTGGGCTAGTTATCTCCAGGGTGGCAGTGCTATTCTCATGGTCTGGGGTCACTCGAATATGTAAGGGCTGGCCTTGCTTGGGTGAAAGAACCAGCTCTCCTGGGTGCCCCGAACTGGAATTTGTTCGAGGCCCCTTCTCTTGAGTAATCGCTGGGCCATTTTCCCTTTTTCTCATCCATGGAATCCAGGACTTTCTCATGGTGAGTTCATTTGCTGCTGGAGGGTACCTGTCTAGGACAGAAGATCTTTCCATGGGCTTCTTCAGCCCCACCTGTCGAAGATTACTCATGATGTGATTTTCTTCTTGGAAGGACTTTCGTATAAAGACTGCTGGTGTCTCTTCCTCTGCCGCCTCACTGCTGACATCAGTCTGGACTCCAGTGGATGTCACAGGAATATCCACCATTCTTCTCCCATTCATGCTGGGTCTAAGCGCTCGGCTATACCGTTTAGAAAGTTCCAGCTCTTTGGTCAGATTGAGGACCTCCTGCCCCATATTTTTGTTCTTATTTTCTTCTTCCATGAATCTCTGTTGAAGGACAGAATAATCCACTTGAAGCTGAGAAAGCTGATCCTCTTTGTTCATTAACTCATGAATCTTCTCTTTCAGGGCTTGCACTTCGGCTTTGAGGTCTCGACTTTTGGCTTCTTCTAACCGAAATCTGTGTCTCAACTCGGCTTCCTGGCTCACAGCCTCCCCTTTCTCTATGGCTTTGTTCTTGGCGATTTGGTGCTTTATCTCTTCCAGCTGTTGAGAGAGGAAGTTAGCCTTATCCTGCTCCGTTCTAAATTTCTGCTCTAGCTGATCATACTCATCCTCCGTCTTCATCAAATCCCCTTCAACCACCTCCAGCTGCTGGAGACGTTTCTTTAGTCTCTCTATTTCGAGGGTTAGCTCCTTAATCTTGTTATCTTCTGGGCAGGTGAACTCTGATCCTTTCCGAGACCTCCCTCTTGTTCTCTCTCTCTCCACCTCCTCTATCCCATCCAGTCTCTTCTTCAGAACGTTAACACTGCAGCTCAATTCAGAGGATTTTTCTTCTTCATTTTTCAGCTTGCCTATTAACTCATCTCTCTCTTTTGTCAAGCTGTAGACCTTCTCTTCCATCTCTGATTTCAGCTTTAAAAACTTCTTACTTTCTTCAATTAGTTTTTCAGTTACATCCATAACCTTCCCTTGCTCTACCTTGAAACTTTTATTGAGACCATCTACTTTTCTTTCTTCTTGCTTTATTTTTTCCATCATATTTTTCCTTTCATCCACCAGCATCACGGTAAAAGACTTCAACTTTGTAAGATCATCTCTTAGAGCCAATTCAGCCTTTTCCAATCTGCTTTCAGAACATTCTAGTTCTTTGACCCGACTCTTGATCACCTCCAACTCATTCAGCAGGTCTTTGGTTAAGTTTTTTTCTTTCTCCAGATTCAGATGAAGCTGATTACATTCATATTTACTCTTGCTGAAAGCTTCTTCCAACTTCTCCAGTTCAGACATTCTCTTCTGTAACTTCTCAACTTCAAGTTTGAGTTCACGACTGTGGTGCTCTTCTTCTTGAAGCTTCTTCCTCAGTTCTCTGCACTGGGATTCGGTTTTCGTGATCTCCTCATCCTTACCCTCCATTTCAAGTACACGCTTCCGAAGATTTTCCACTTCTGCCATGAGACTGGAATTGCCACATTCCCCCTTGGCAATTTTATCTCTTAATTCCTGAAGTTCTTCTTCTGCTTTTTGAAGATTTTTGTTGGTCTCTTCTAGCTCCTCTATCCTCTGAGTTAAACCAACCAGCTTGAGTCTAAGTTGCCTGTTATGCGACTCTTGATTGGCCAATTTTGCGTTCATCTCCTCATGCTCTTGGGAAAACCTTGAAGCCTTGTGTTCAAAATCGACCTCTAACTTATGCAGTTTCTGCCTGTCTTCTTTGGATTTGGAGGTAATGGCTCGGAGCTTTTCTTCTTCTTCCCTTAGTTTCTGAGTAAGATCCTGTACTTTCTGGCTTTGCAGGCCAAGTTGCTCAATATGCATTTGTCTTTCATCCACCAGCATGAGTGCAAAAGACTTGAGTTTCACAAGCTCATCTCTCAGTTTGTTGAGTCGCTTAGCATTTTCCTTTTCCTTGCGGGCTTGATAAGCTTTTTCTTGTTCAAGGAGCTTTTTCAATCTAGAAAGTAAGAGATATTAACGTGTTATTTTATATTCTGTTTATATGTTATATATATTATTAGAAATATTAAGGTTGATTATCAATTAGGCTTGCCTTAGGTATTCAATTAAAAAATTAAATACTATTACAACAACTCCTACTATAAACAGTTCCTTACCAAACTGCTGAAATGGACAGATGAAAATAAATGTTAACACACCTAAGAAGTTGAAATACTTGTTGGTTATCTTGAGAAATAGTAATTCGAAGGTAGTGTGAAGAGAGCTTTTGACATGCTAGTTTCTTTTCATCATTAATGTGCTCTTACATAAGACTGTTTGACATAAAAATTCAGAAAGTTGAAAGGGGGGCTTTGTGGGCCGTCCCCCACGCCCCACCGAGGTCGCCAGCTGCCCCCCACGAGCGGCTCTCCGGCACGGCCACGACTCCAGGGCACAGAAACCAATCTCTTAACTAGCTAACTTTTAATAGAAATTCTTCCAGGGTCAATAAGTAAAATAGCAGAAATTCAAAACCGCGCGGCCGCGACATCATTTTATTCTTAAACCAAGTTGTAGAAAGCAAATCATTTCACAACGCTGTTTCAGCATGTCTGATTGTGGGGGGTGGGTCGTAAACTCTAAACAATAATTGTGCATCTTCTATCGAAATAATCTATCTAGTCAAAGTAGATAGAGTATTAACTAGAACTCATCTGCCTCACAAGAATTGGGAGGGGTGGGAGGTGGGGGTCTATTGGGGTTCGGGGTTAAAAATGAGTATTGGTAAAGGGAAATGTGTTCGGTATCTACATGACTGAGACCTAAACCCGAAAGCTCTGTAACTTTTCCCACAGTGATTCAATAAATAAATAAATTATAAAAAATAAATAAATAAATAAATAAATTCTAATGTATTTTAATAAGGAAAAAAAATTCAGAAAGTTGAACATTTGAATATATCTCTGTACATATATATACTTACGTTGCACATTGTTAATAACTATATACTTAAGTTGTACATTATTAATAACTACATATATAGTGCCACATCTTCTATATCCTAGGCATTAATATGCATCTGGTCCTCACAGCAATGCTAAGAGACATGCACTGTCATTTTTGTCCCCATGAGGAAATGAGAGGTGGCACCTGCCACCGTTCACATGGGAAGTGAAGTGGCCAAGCTGAATTCAGACTCTGACAGTAGGGTTCCAGGGTGCCTTGCTCCTTACCCTGGCCACATCTGAAGGCCATGTGCCTTCATATGAGAAATTCACTTTAAATAAAAAGGTAGGCACTATACAAGAGCTTTGGGTTTTCTTTTCCCTTTTTTTGTGCATTACCAGGACCTGGTGCGGACAAATGAGATAAGCTTTCTTACAGAAAGTTGATCGAATAACTGAATTTAGCTAATAGAATTGTTGCAAGATCTTGTCTTAGTTTTCCAACTTAGATTTTTTTTTAGGCTGGGAACTATCTAGGGAGCAATTATTATCACTATAAAAATGTGGCAGTCATAGGAAATACTAAATTTTGCTTGTATGAAATGAAATTTCTCTATGGTATTTGTGTAGAGTTTTTAAAATAGGGATATAAATTTGCTTGAATAACTATTATCCTTATGTTGCTTGCACCAGTTTTTAATAATTATTTTCAATGTTCCATAAAACTAGTTAAAATAATAGTCATATTCACGATATCTAGTGTAAGAATGCATTTTTAGTAGTTCATTTTTTTAATTTGGTTTAGTTTGGGGGCCACACCTAGTGGTGCACAGGACTTATTTCTAGCTCTATGCTCAGGGATCACGCCTGGCGGAGCTTGGGTCAACACATGTGGTGCCAGGGATTGAAACCCAGGCAGCAGTGTATATGACAAGCACCTTACCCATGTGCTCTCAGGCCCCGTCAGCATGTTTTAAGTTTCAGTGGAGGCCTCTGTTTGCCACTGGGTGGCAGTGATGGTCCAGGGGCACCGCAGGGGCAGAAACAAGCTCTAGCATCCAACCACCAGCACCAGTATGATTGGCTGAACAGATAGAGGAGCTTGGTCCCAGGGTCCTGAGCACTGTTTCAGACCCTCAACCCAAAATCAAAGAGAAGTTATAGGCAACCCCTATGTGTTTTAACTTCTTTTTGTCCTTCAAAATATCTTTTGAATCTTATTTATCCTGAATGATTTATTTCATATTTATGAATAAATTAAAAAACAGAAGTCAACAGTCTCACATTGTGTGTTGCAAGAAATGATTAGACAAGGGCTAGATACAGTGCAGGGGATATGGCACATGCTGTGTATGCAGTTGACGCAAAGGTCAATCTGTGCACCCAGTTCAGTCCTTAGCACTACTCCAATGGTTCTTTGAGCATCTCTGGGCACAGCCCTGGCAAGTCCCAGGCAGTGCCAAGTGTGAACTTGGAGGCGTCTAAACACTCAAGAGTAATCCAGGGAATCCCTTGCTCTGTAGGGCCAGAACAGTATCGAATCTTCAGACTTTACACTGAACTGTCAAAACGGGTTGATCAAAACCTTTAACAAACGTAAGTAATCTCTTATAGAAGGTCTTAATGGCACCCGGGTGAAATACAACAATCTTCACATTCTTTCCTCTAAGGATACTTTTTTGCGGCATTTTCAGCGATTTTTCATAACAAACAATACAAAATATATTATTTTGATTCTGCTTTGGGGCAGGGATTGGGGTTCAGGATGGAAACATCCGAACTATGGTGATGGGAAGGTGCTATGGTGGTGGGATTAGTGCTTGAATATTACATTTAATCAAATATTGTGAACTACTTTATAAAATAAAAAACTATTTAAAAAATTGGTTGACCAAAAACCAATAAATGATTGCACATACACATGATAGTTACTTATCAACTCCATTGCCATACAGTTATGGTTCATATCTTTGCTTAAGTCATTAATATTTTCAATAAAATTTTTGTAAAACATAAAACTTGTGTCTAAGCAACTATTATGTAAATACAAAACTTCCTAACTCCACTATATTTTATTCCTAAAATGGTAGAAAGATTGTGTTCAAATCCTACATACTCTCATGAGCTAATATTGTAATGATTTCAGTAACTGTGGTTCTTATATGTGTAAAAAAGTGTGTTCTATGGAATATCTTCATTATACCTGGAGCCAAAACGACGGAAATAATGACACAGAAAGTAAGAGAAATTTGAAGAGAATATTTTGTGACTCTTTTGCTTTGTGTGCTTGCTTATTTGTTCTATTCCTTCTTCTCCCTTCTCTTTAGTTCATGGTTGTTGATGTTCCTGTGATGTCTGAGGGTCACAGCTGACTGAGGTGCTTGGTTGTGGTACACCAGAGATCACACACCAGTGCTACTAGGAACTGTGCCTGGTAAAGTGTTGTGGTAACTGGGATTGAACTCATGGCTTCACCAATGGAAGGCAGGTGCTCTATTAAGTAGCTACAGCCCTGAGCCCCTCGACTCTTGTTTTATCAAATTCTAATTTCTGATGCAAAGAAATAAGGCGAAGGATTTTGTCTACAACTGGACCATAGCTCTACTACTGAAGCAGCACACAGCTGGTATTGAGTGGGAGGAGGAGTGGGAAGCCTAAGAAGGAGAGAAACTCCTAAGAAATCTTGAAATTATTTTGTTGACTGTTCCCTCCTGGCAAAAATACTCTTACTGAAAAAGCTGAAAGACTGGAAAAGTAACCACTTTTAGATTTTCACTTCACATTTTTTTAAAGATACATCCAAAGGAGAAACTAGGTTAGAAGATTAGAAAAGGGAAGTATGGAGAAAAATCTTGGGGCAACACAGAAGTAAAAACTAAAGTGAATGAGGTTAGCCTGTTTAAAGCATGTTAAGAAAGAGAGGAGATATATTAGGAGATGCCCATGGGCACTTGTTTCGTTTATCTACCTGCCCAATTTTTTTTAATGGATTGAGGTTATGTGACTTACAATACTGTTAACTGTTAATAAATGGTTTCTGGGACCAGAGTGATAGTACAGTGGGTAGCACACACAGCTGACCTGGGTTTGATCCTCGGCATTCTATATGGTCCCCAAGCACCGCCAGGAGTAATTCCTGAGTGCAGAGCCAGGAGTAACCCCTGAGCATCACTGGGTGTGACCCAAAAGACAAAAATAAAAACAAATAATAATGGTTTCACATGCACATAATTTCAACAACACATGTCACCAGCATACCTACCTCTCTCCCTGCCCAATTTAGCATTCTGCTTTTAAGTGGGTTTTTATTTTCTCTTCCCATATTTAGAAATGCTATTTTTTACACATTTGACATGCATTCAGAAGCATTATGGTAGGATAGACCTAGCCCGGACAATCCAGATCAGCTTTCCCCAAAATGTCCAGAGAGGGCTTTTTCCAATGCATATCACCTTGACATGTAAAGCCAAAATCAACTGAGTTCCCATGGGTCTCAAAAGAAACTTACTATTACCTTAAAGAATGGAAACTACCCAGACTTAGCGTCATCTCAAGAAAAATCTTTTTTTTTTTTTTTTTTTGCTTTTTGGGTCAAACCTGGCAATGCACAGGGGTTACTCCTGGGTCTGGACTCAGGAACTACTCCTGGCAGTGCTCAGGGGACCATATGGGATGCTGGGAATTGAACCTGTGTTGGCCGCTTGCAAGGCAAACGCCCTACCCGCTGTGCTATCTCTCCAGCCCCTCACAAAAAATCTTTCCATACTGAACTAACTTTTCTTATGCAGGGCAAACATCTAGGGGCAGGGTTCTCTCATGTGAAGTCCTCCCCTTCTCTTCATGTGAAATCTCACCCTGTTCTTTATGGTTCCGGGTCACTCTCACTCCTTAGTTCTGGACATAAGCCTTCAGACTGTCCTATTTGCTCTAGATTATCCAGCTGTGCCAATTCTCCATACATAAGTGATTACATTTGATCTTTTCCTCCTCCTACTCTCCTGATATTAATTTGCTTAACCAGTTTAAGAAGAAACTAGAAAGATGGAAGAATCTTCTTTTGTACCCTTACTTA